CGCCCTCGCCGCGGTTTTCTCTGTGCCGAAGTTCTCCGAGTTACGAACGGATCACACAAGCCGGAATAACCATGGATATCCTGCCGAGTGGGAACATATTTAGGGAGTTGCAGGACATACACGACACCGGATACTTTTCGGCCCAGCCGTCGCTCGAGGATCATTGGCAACAGGTAAGAACATATTTTCCATTTCGTACAGTCTATCGTAGAGAGTGGCCGGCTACACACCGGCTATAGACGACAAACGCTGTTTTCTTTACCCTTTCGTGCGCGGAGCCACGAGTAAACGTCATGTCAAACGAACGGCAAGCCGTCTCGCGTTACGAGACACGCTCGACGCCGTTACGAACGACGACCGTGAATTTCAAACGCGAAAGCCCGCCCCGCCGTAACCTCGACCGCCATCTTTGAATTTCTAACTCTATTTTTAGTATACCATTCGAAATGCAAGATTAGTCTTTTACGCGAACCGTATAGTATTTTACATGTGAAATGACCGTTGAAATTTCTTGCGCTACCGATGCTAGTATGGTGGGTAGATAATATTATTCTTTTTTCAACTTTCGTTTAGACACGTATAACGGTATTTTGCGATGCGCTTTCGTACGATCCGTAACAAGATTGTATCGCGAAAGATCGTCGAGAGTGAAACGTTTATGAAATACTTTGAAGCTGCGATCGATTGTTAATTGGGTCACGGTTTTTGCCCCGATTTTTTGGGCGGCCGGCATTTAAATCGATTACCGATATGCAGCTGGGCATTATGACTGGACGACCTTGAGCCGAGGTATTAGATCGGTGTGTACGTTCAGTGACGCGGCCGAGCGTACTATAGACGGCGCGTCCTGTTTGTTTACGAGTGTGCAATGACCTTCCAGTGGTCGGGGAAGGCAGGAGGGACGTACTTATTCCCCATTCAATATCTCAGGCCGGAGTACAACAGTTTCCTCGCTTCGTTAAAATGGCACGAGTGACGTCATTGGTTGCACCGTGCGCGCCCGCGTGGCGTCGGGACTTAACGGTTTATTATCTCGATCGCGGCCACTCCAACCAATTTGCATCTCTTTCTTTTTATCCCTTTAATTGCGTCCCGGCGAACCGCCGCGCGGCTTTTGCTCGTTTACTCGTTTTCTTCTGCGCTCGCTCCTCCGAGACGTGTAAAAAATTTATTCGGGCAAAAGTGATTACATCGCTGAGTTATGTTCGATTGGCTCCTTAATTCGCGCGTTGTTTCGGTAGCTCTTCACAAGCTTGTACAACGTGTATCACGTATACTACGACATATCTTTCGGTAATGTAGGAATATTTTTACATGAAAATTTTATACAATGTTTCAGTTTGCGAAGATACAGTTGTACAAATTAGTTGTATGGTTTGCGTTATGTGCTCAGATGTTGAGAAATTTGTTCTTCGACGAAAATTGTGTATTTCGTTGTTTTTTTTAAATAAGGAATCGTACCGTTAAAAGGAGCATTAGTTACGTAAGCATGTTATCGTAGTTTTCTTTACTTGTATCGTTACAATTCGTTATCAAGCGCAAGAAAAAAATTCGTGTACTATTGGAAAACTGTTTTAAAAAGACCGTCGCCGACGTCAGTCGATACATAGAGGTAACCATTAGCTATTATTGATAAGTTATCGAGAAATCATTGATAAGTCTCAATTTATATAAGATGTTCGTGGCGTCGATAATGCAAGCAGGTATTAAATTGTTCCACTTATTTTTATTCAGATTCTGTTCTTGAGTCACGTTAAAATTCTCGATACGTAATTATATAAGCATCCGTTCGAGCAACAATTCTTCGGACGCTTATTGTTTCGTCTACGTCAGAAACTTCCTTATTATCGTTAAATACTAATTAGTAACCGAAGAGAAACGGCGAAGTCAAGATCGCAGAACACTAAGCCTCGAAACAATTTTATCCTCTTATTTTATGCGACTCGTGTATTTATTGTGTTATTAAATACCGCTCGCAAACAATCGAATAACGCTCGCTGTGGGCATAAAACGTTTACCATATAAAAGCATTACAATTATCAAAGCCGGAAGAAAATGGAATCGCGAATGTTTGCTTATTCTGGACGTTTTAATGCTCCGAAACAATTTACCGCTTGTAATCCGACTCAACGGCAATTATCGTGGTCGTCGTTAGCATCGTTAATTCTTATGTAAAAACTGATAACTCACCGTGCCTGTTGAAATGAACGAGGATTGATACGCACGAACACGGCCGTCGTAGATCAGAGGAGCTAATTGCAGAGACATTTCGCGTCCTGTCGAGAAAGCGTCGAGCGCGTTTTTTTTCCAATCTCTTCTCTCTACCCTGTATCACGGGTGGAACTTTATCGAGCGTTTACGTAATGCGTTTCAATTATCGCCGGTTTAATTACCGATGGCGTATCTGATCGTTAGCCCCGCGAGCGAAATTTATGGCGAGGAAATCTCGGTTTGTCGCTTGGCACTCGACATTTGACCTGCGCAACATTGTTGGGAGCCGGGTTTAGTTTGGCACGGTGCCTAATTGAACGTCTCGAAGGGTTTACAGTGGAAAACCGTCCGCCACTTTACCCGCTTTCTCCTTTTTCTCGTTAATTACCCGTACGATCGGCTGTTTTTATTATCGGCCAAGAAATACATGGCGCCCCGGCTATCGTCCTTTTTCGGGGCCTCTCGAAATTGTCTCGTGTTGTCGTCGATTACCATCTTTCCATCCATTACGTTCACTCCCTGTTCCCCCCGGCTCGCAGCGCTTCGAAAGTTGCACCCAAACGGAATTGCCCATCGGTTTCCCCGTGAAATTTCTGTATCGCACTTTGGGCCTGGCGTTGTTTATCTGCTTATCTCGGAGTTGTTCAAACAGGATTAGACGAAATCAAAGGTTGATCTGTCGTACACGAGGACTGAGATCTTGAAACTTTATTTTTCCGTGAAAGCGGTCTGCGGAAGAGGCCATAATGATGAATCATAAACGTTTTCTCTGTTCGGATCATTGATTTATTTGTCGCTTCGGCCGATAATCTTATAATTCCGGAGAATTCTTTGAATGCAGCGCGAGGTTGGGATTAAGGCAGCGATCTTACCTGGGATTACGTAGCGCCAGTCATCCTCGTCATTTTACTTGCTAATTCCCCTCGAGAGATCTATAGGGATTCATAGGAGCGAGCCCTGGTACGCTCTTCAACGAAGATTTAGCTTGCCACGATATTTCAAATTTCGATACGCTAATCCCCCGCGCTGGGTGGGTTAGCGAATCGCGCTGCGTATCAAAACCGAAAGCCTGTAAATTATTGTACGCTTTTGGGAATATTGTAAACGTTTCGGTGAAGCGACACACAACGCTCGACGGGGGGAGGAAGGGGTGAAAAAATATTAAAGAGCAGTGCTTTCCCGGGCGTTTCGGCGACCGTTCCCCAAGTAACACGATGATGTACATCGACAGCGTCATTCGATAGGCGAACCAGATGGCTGGGTCACATCGACAACACGACAGCGTTGGTCGCGTGACCGATAATGCGATTCGACAGGTGCTCGCTTGTATATTCTTGTATTCTGAACTTTACACGATCCCGTTTCGTCGGCAATTATCGTCGTTGGCGAGGAAACGAGCGTTTGATGCGTCCTGCCGTCAAAACCTATGCAACTCGGTCGATTTTCAGCGGGCACGTCGACCAAGGAATTCCGTTGGATTATGTAGGCGGTGCTGCCGTTCGAAAATCCTTCCCGTGTCGGCCCGAATTGCCCGTGCTCCCGATACGTGACCTATCTCAAATTCTTGACATCTTAAATAGCTTCATGATTAATTCGAATACGTTCCACCGATAAAGAACGCGTGCCGGGCCGTTGAAAATAATAAACAGAGTGTATTCTCGTTGCACGCGGTAGACGCGAAGTGTTCGTAATTCAATTTAATGAACTGGAAGAGCAATTATAATAACGTAACGTGAGAATATCGTTGAAAAGAAACGTAAGTTGCCAGCGAATCTAGACAATGTTGCATGTTGCATCGAGTTGCATTGAATATTCGTTACACGGAGGATCCGAGGTAATTCTAGATCCTGGTGTAATTCATTTCCGTTTTCATAAAAATTCGCGGTACTTTTCCGACGCGGGATAACATGTTAATCGCGACACAGGGTCGATACGTTTCCAATATTGCGATCCTATAAATAGCAATTCTTAGAACACTGTCTCCTGGCGCGGATATTTACATGAATTGCGTGGAGCGCAGAACAACGCGCGGAGGAAAACGAGAAACGACGATGAAAATAACGAAAAAGACGCCGGCCGACCTTGCCGCGGAGTTTCCTTTCATCCAACACCTGATGCAATTATTGAAATACGTCCCACGTATCGGGTCGACGATGAATTATGCATTTCTGATACGCTAAGCGGATCAGCAGGCTCGCGGTACGCGAGCTATCGCGCGCGGCGACGGACCGACTCCATCCCCGAACTTCTTGCGAATCGTTGACCGTGGAGATATCCTTCCATTTTTTCCTGTCCCGTAAATAATGCACACTCGGCATTGAATAATCGATCGTCCGGCGGCCGGTTTCTGTCCCGGGAATAAATATTTTCGCGGCATTGTTTTCGGCCGGTCGATTAACTCGGGACACGGGATCGTGCTTAGCCGCGGAATGCTCGAAAATATATGCGCCCGCCTGAATTTTTCATCGTTTCGATCGCGCACACTTCGATGAACAGGCTGTTTCTCGAATTACCGGACGCGTTCCCGTCTACGTGGTACCTTCACATTCAAACACGCGTTCTTCCGTTAGCGACCAGCTATTGGTTGTCTCTGATTACACGCCGTTTGCGTGTCATTAATTAAAATGCTATCCGATGAGTCGGAAACTTCCGTATTTCAGCGACTGCGGTGTGCAAACCGTGACGGTTATCGAGAGAACATTGAAACGTATCATTCGTGGCATCATCGGATCGATCCACCGATATCCCACGAAAACTTAGATCGTTGACCGTGCAGTTCTTTCCCCGATATACTCCATTTCCTAATCTGAATCCGCTCTTGAACGAAATCTCCAGCACCCCGAGCTCAGTCGCGACGCTTGGCTGGCACACGTCCGGCGTTCCTCGCTGTGACTTGTTTACCGATCTGTACACAAAATCACCGGCCTTTTTAACGATGTTGTGTCGCGCCAGCCCCGTGTTT